TATACAAATAATCAATAACACGAAATGTTGAATGAAGACATTGGGCAAAGAAAGAATCAAATTGTTTACAAATATAATACTTATCTATTTTGTAACTATACTTCAATGCATTTAGGGTAGGCTATGTGGGACTCCCTTATTTGTTTGAAGGCGACGCTATGTGGGAACCTTAGCGGGGGAAGGCTTGTCCTCATTTGGCATTTGGTCCGCATGTGCCATCCTACCCTACGTGGTGTCGATAAAGTTGAGATATAAAAGAATTGACTTCAACAAGTCCCGTCTTGGAATGCGCCCATGCATTCGACCTCCATTCGGAATCGTGAGAGCGTTTGGATGCGTAGTATACCTATGCAGTGACTTGGGAGATCAGTTGATGTATAGGTCAGCACTGTTATGCTCTCTTACAAAACTGGTAGCGATCCCAGTTAGATGGAAATGGGAAGGCTTGATTGATCTTGACGAGTATCTACCTAGGATACGATCTCCAAACCATGCGTATAGCAGTGCGCCATTTGGCATTCACCCACTCAACCCATTGAAGTGCAATTGATAAGCTATTTGATAGGCGGAAGCTTCGGAACGGGAACCATCACAAATCATTGTAGATGCCGTATACGCATTCAAACCGCCGCTGCGATTCTGAATGGAGGGCAAATGCGAGGCGCATCCCTAAACTGGATTGATTATAGCAAAGGACTCGATTCATTACTCTGACAAAGCATACAAATACGTAATAATAAATATTAAAAGTCATATCTACTCAATGATATTTGTAATGAGTGTGTTCCTAAGCAAATTTGGAAGCCTTTTTGAAAACCACTTTTTAAAAATCTCTTTGAACCCCCCTCTCCCCCTTTTTGATACTTCTATGCAAGACAAATGGACATAGGGCAGTATTTTGGATGGATATGAATCCTGATGGGAAAGTACCAACGTCGCAGTCCTTCAGATACCGTGTCTATTCCCGAGTATAGAGGCCCTTCGAAGGTGCTCCATAGACTGGCTTATTAGGCCTGCTAGAATTTGTCGCTCCACTTTCATCATGATGATTTCAAAGGTGGTCAAATAACCACCTAACAAAACCTGAAAGGCTAATAGGCCTGGTAGGGATTCCATCCAACGAGCCTTGCCAGGAATGCACAGCGCTTCCAGCCACTGCGCCAATGGTGATTAGGCTTCTAGTTGTGCTATGTCTAGGCCATTTGTCACATTAATTGACTATACTAATGATTTACAACCATACTTATACAATTCATAAACTCAGAAATGGCTCTAACCTCTAACCTGGCACTCTAACTGTATGACTCTGCCTAGGCCTTTCAGTTCCTCTGCGTCTATGCCCAGGACAGCTGTCGCGCTTTCAAGTGGTTGTATTTTTAAAGTATTTCGATAATTATCGTTATTATAACTATAACTACTTCACGTACAAAATTTTCACAAACTGCCGCTACTGTTATCATTTGTTTGGATAGGAGTGTACCTAGAGGTTGTAAAATATGTTTGTCCCATTTGTTTATTGTTTTCAACGTTTAGTTATTGTTGTTTTATTGTCAGGAAGGTTTATGTTACAGCGTTTACGCTTTTGTTGTTGTTTTAAGAGCCTCCTCAACCCTTGAGTCATTGCTTAATGGATAAAACAGAAGTCTAGGTCCGGGAAACAACTCGAACACAGCTCAAACTCGCTCACGGAATTCCTTTATTGCCTACCTTCCATTTGTTTATTTACTTCATTACTTTGGAAATTCCGATGTTTAGACGACGTCATGAGGGCTAAACAGGTGGAATTGCTGAAAAGTCCCTACAAGAATTGGGAGAAAAAACGGTGTGTGAGCAAATGTCCAGCGATAATAGTGTACGGGAAATCTCCGTGGATTTCTTTGTGTCCGTTTTATGATTTGCCCCAAGGCCATGGGTTCCATTACAACCTGTAGTTTACTGGAAAACATTCCTGAGGTTGTAACCATAATGTTTTTTCTAATTTCTTTATTACCATTGATCACCAGCATGGATGACGTCATTGGACAAAAGAATTATGGTTAGTCAGTTGGTAAACAACCCGATGTTCAGTTGCCAATCCAGTAACTTTACACTTGTAGTTCGATCGAAACGTATACGTGGTACGTCATTCTCCTACACGTCTTCTACACCGACCAGTAAATTTTGTTTATTTACTTGTTGTTTATCTTTTACCTGTTTTACCTGCCCTGCTTATGACAGCATTCTTTTAGATTAATAGTTCTAGAGTTACTGGTAATTTCGTTGACAAGGACTCATGATTTGTTTTCAAGTCCACTTTTTTTGGTCCATCACTATTGCTCGTGCTGTGCACGCTTGTTGAGGGTGTAAACCTTCCAGCATGTTTCCGGCTCTATCTTTCTGCTACTTAAAAGCCAATTTAGGTATGGCCGGTAAACCTTGGCGATTAAAACCGGCATTATATACGACAAGCCTCGTTTATATAGCTATTCAAGTTGCTTTCTTATCATTTTTATGCAGTTATTATGGTTATGGTCTATCGAATTTAACACGATGGACCATCGATCGATTGGAAGAGGTACGTTTAATGAGGTTCTTTATGAGTTTCTGCTATCAGTTCTGAGAACTCAACCCTGCCCTCCTTTCTTTCTTTCTTTCTTTCATAACTCCTATACCGGAGCTTTTAGCTTGGTGGGTTCGCTAGGTATTTGAATGGTCCCTCAAAAAGTTTTTATCGTGACGGTTCTCGAGTCCTCATTGCCGGGGACCAAAAAGGTCATAGAAGAAACTTTTTGAAGGTCATCATATTTCACTCATTACAATCTCATCGTAGCTCTGTAAACACAACTTGTACTCTGTTTTTTCCTTTTCTTTTTTCCCTTCTTTTTTCTTCTTTTTTAAAGCCAATAAAAACAAGGGATCGGTAATGAAAATATGCCAGTCGTAGTGCAGTGCCGCACTAGTGATGGACCAAGCTGAAGAGACCCCAAGAAGGAAGTGTTTGGATATTAATTTAGGTTTTTAGAGCAATGTAGGATACTTTTCAATGCAAATTTTCAACGCCTTTTGAAGTGCAGTGCGTATACTTGTTTTCTGAGTATCAAAGAAGGACGATTAGGCCATCGCGTGCATATTGCCTCTCTGCCACAGTCTTAAATGGTGCCTTCCAGTCTGCCTTACAAGTTTTGCGACGTGGGGTGAGACTTGTGATTCTCAATCCCCTTCGATGTTGCCGCTCTGAATTAGGCACACAGGCGGCGATCAATGAAGCTGCTCACGGCGCTTTACCTAACTTTTCTGTCCTTATTTTTTGATTTATTGACCAAATATCAAATTGCATTCTGAGTAAATGGTCGATTATTGTTAGCCTGGAAGGTTTTCTTCGGTGCTTCATTGCCGTATCAGCGAATACTTTTCGCAAAACGCTTACAGTGGAGATTGTTCAGAGCGCAAAATCTTTCATATTATTGCAGTGTAGAGGAGCCCATTGTAATCGTTCGATTTTTCTTTAATGTTTCCTTGAAAATTTGATCCCTACTTTCTTATCTCTTTCTATCAGCTTCTTATTTATATTCCATTGCAGTACGAATATACTCGAGGAAAATTAGCGTGGCTTGGAGACGCTTGGAAGGGTGCCAGAAGCAGTATGAAAGTACAAAAACGCAAAGCAACCCAAGATGACATTAAGGTAAGCATCATCTGCTAGTTATTTTCATTCTACCATCTCTATCACCTCGACTGCTGTATTTAAAGATTGTTGATCCTGAAATCAAACTTGATGAGGAGATGCAAATACTGAGCGCTGAACAGCTTTCGTTTTTTGATGGTAGTCGACCATCACGGTATGTTTATATAAATGTTTCTAACTCCACATGGATCCCTTAGCATTTCTTATTTCCTCCTATTGCCGCTGGAACCGTTGTAGTTGGAAGGGTCTCTCGAAATCGTTTTTGTTTACATTGGCCCATTCGACTAAAATACCACGTAGCAACACTGAAGAACACTATCTCAGGCCTGTCTACCTTGCAATCCTTGGTCGCATATACAATGTGGACAAAGGAAAGAAACATTATGGGAAAGGAGGCGGATATCATTTCTTTGCCGGTAAGTCGCTTATGACGAAAAGATTTCTATATGTAAATGTCAAGTAAAAGCATGATATTGTAAGGGAAGATTCGAAAATTGTTTGCCCTATGGCCTTTAATAAGTGGTCTTTGCACTGGCACCTGTGCGAGTCGCTCGATTGTTTGACTCTTGTTTATCTATAAAAATCCAAGACACATGTAAATAAACCAACATAACATTGGGACTGTCTCTCCAACTAGGTGGTTTTGACCGGTAATGTTGCAAAAATCAAAGAGTATCGTTAAAAAGGTGGTAAATAGCAATCTAACACAAAGGACAGGCTAATTCGATTTGTGCCACCGACTCTTGTCGTAGTCAATAAAAAACAATCAATTCAGCTTCCCTTTTTTCAGGAAATTTTGTGTGTAGTTCACAGGAAAGAGAGACGGTAGTAACGTTCGGAATTCTTTTGCTTTGTCTAGTAATAGCATTACTAGCATTATTTCTAAAAAATCCCTGCGTACAACTAAATGTTTCCAGGACGTGATGCCACGAGAGCGTTTGTAAGCGGTGATTTCACGGAAAGCGGATTAGTCGATACCACAGATGGTCTTTCTCATGAAGATTTGTTAGGTAATGTTTCCTACATTTTAGAGTTATCATTTTACCATTCACAATTTGACTTTCCATTTTATTTTTAGGAATCCGTGATTGGATATCATTCTATGAAAAAGATTATAAATTGGTTGGTGTTCTTATTGGTAGATATTACGATGCTAATGGAAATCCAACACAGGAGTTGCGGGATGTACGTTTTTTGCTTTGTAACACATTACTAACTGTCTTTTTTTTTTGTTTTATTTGTTTCTGAACCTCCTTATGGCCTTCATTTCAGGTAATAGCCCGTATGCAAACCGCAGCTGAATGGAGAGCTTCCAGAGCAGCGGAGACAGAGGTAGGATTCCTTCATCGTTTTTTTTTTCGTACAATCGTTTTTTGAGGAGAATGACGCGAAATACTTTCACATCTTGCCAGTGACATAGTGAATGACTGTCGTAATACTGCCATTTTCATTTTTTGGCAGGTTTTCCCGCCATGTAACAGCGAATGGCATCAGAATAGTGGTGGTCGTGTGTGGTGCTCAATGAAAAGTGGTGGTATACAGCGAGATTGGGCAGGAGTACCAAGGTAGGACTTTTTTGTCTACAGAATCATTTGAGGATTGCGTCTTCTCTCCGTAGTGGGCAGTATTTTTTTTCCAATCCTGATCTTGGTCGAAAAAACTTCGTTCCAGAGAGCTCTACGATCCAAACACAAAACAAAAACGATGTGCCTGTGTAAAGAATTTTGGTGTAGGATTATCACCTGCTGGAGCCAAAGGAAATCGAGGTGATCTTGATCACCCGAACCTAAGGGTAGGCTTTCTGATAGCCGTTTTTAATACCTTAATTTGTATGATCGAGGAGTGTTTCAATAATTCATTGTGTTTGACTTATTCTGAGGTTCGATTAATAGTAAGGATGGCTGCAGTAATTTTTGGGTCGTAGCGCTGGAATAATGTACTGCCGATGTGCCTTTCTGCCATTTTATTTCTCTATCTGACTGAGTTTCTGAGCAGCAATCCCGTCACGGTAGGTTTGTTGGAAATAACAGCGCAGATTCTCGTCAGACCAGATCACTTAGTACAGTTAGCTGTAAGTCCGACCATTCCACCTACCACCTTAATTTCATCTAGCACCAAACCTTTACCTGAACTAACTCTGACCGCTGGTATTGAATTTTTGGAGGAGTTCAATATATGGATCGGTAATTCAAGGTTTCGTTATCGTTGTATGTAAGCAAAACGTTAACGTTAGTTGACGTTCTTTCCTCTTTAATCTTATCTATTTATCTGAATCCCAGGTTGGCTACATATATAGCATTCTCGAACATCTCTTCGAACAGCTTTTTCATTCTTGTCAAATTGTAGCGTCCCAGACATTGGAGGGTTGTGTGCCGCGTCTGCACTGAGTCTCTGAACTCGGATAGGCCGCAGAAGTTGGACTCATGCCTTTCATTGTTACCCTAAATTGTCAGTCACGACATGCATCCTTACTATGTGCTGAAAGCTATTTTTACTGTATTCTTAAGCATTTCTATAATGCTTTCTTTTTTTCCTGACGTTCCAGCACCTTCTTAACAACCGTCCTTACCAACGTTAAGTCAATCTTGCCTTTTTAAGTCAGAATCATATCGAAACGATTCAAATATAATTAATCAGCCTTTGTGTTCTAAAATGACGCCAAACAAGCAATATAAGTAAAAACAGATGATTATTCAACAGGAATTATTTCAGCAATATCCGAAATGCTCTCCGACAGCGAACAGTTGCAGAATTGAAAATGATTGAATCAGATGTCCATGATTCTGTACTGCCTCCAACGATATCAACTCAGTATTCATACTGATGAAATCGCGAGGGCGTGCTGATTCTGTCAGTTTGGTCCGGTAATATTTGCTGCCCTTTTCCTCACTCGGCTGTTTAATTTTGCTTCTTGTAAGCTTATCAGGGTCAGCAGTCGTAGGTGATAGTCTCAGCGTTTAGCGAATTCGGTGTGTTTAAACTTAGCAACAAATATAACTGAGATATAGATATTCTATTTCCAAATAGTTTTCCTACTTGTTATGAATTGTTTATCCATTTCTCGTTTTAGGTTATAACGAATTTTTTATTTTCATAGAATATGAGGAGCTTAGTTGTGTAGTAGATCTACATACTGCCACGCAATCTTTCATGATCGCGCTAATTGTTTTCTGTTTTCCTCCGAGGTATGGCACTTGTCTACTTATTATATTCATGTCGTTGAAAATGTTAATTTTGTTCGGCATGTTCGACGCGTGTAGAATCCAGAATTTTTGGATCTGTGAAAATTTACATAATCTTTTGTAAAGTATTTGATGATTTGTACCCAAAAGTGGCCTCATTTTATGCATCGAATATTTCATGATTGTTACGGTAATGAAGTTATGTTTCCTTGCTTATTCTACTTTTTATTTCCTACCATTGAGTGAATTGTCTCTCGGTATATAGACTCTATTCACAGTTGCTATATTGCTACACTGATACATGATATTATCACCGAATTGCCTGCTCTCTGTAATCTACACCATTTTTGCACGCGTTATCCTCAACAGGATTGGCGGAATTCAAATGAAGGGCGGCCATGCGAACAAACAGGGTTTTGGGAAGGGTTCGGTACTATCAGTCGTATTCGCACTGTCGCAAGGCTCACTGAAGTATCGCCTCAGTACAGAATAATGTTATGACTTATGTTGATCAATTTGAAGAAAGCGTCCGATGTTGTTGAGACAAAAGGGGTTATCCGTGCCCCGGGCGGCTATTTCTCTTACTTTCCCACTTGATATATGTGTGTACTTCGTGAACTCCAAGGTAACTTGCCGACCAGGATTTCGCTATTCCACGAGGAAGTGAGTCTCGCGTAAAGAGAGGAGTTTTGCTGTGGTGAAATCTTGCCAAAATATTCACTACTGAATTTACTGAAGACGATGTTCATGAGGAAGTGATTCGTGCTTGTTGCTCCACTTCACGCTGAACGGCACGAATATCCCTGAATGCTCCAGCTATGTGTATCTAGGTCGAGAAGTCAAAAGGATGCACGTTCTGGCTCTGGAGCTAAGCAAAAGGGAACGCTTGATGTGGGGAGCGTTTACGAAAATCACGGAAGTATTGAAGAAGACAAAAAACAGCGAGATCCCCGCGCTCCTTTCCGTTTCTTTCTTTTGTCTTGATTTAAGTCTCATGACTTGAGCATGGATTCTGCGAAAGCAGGATCAGCGTTAAGTAAGCAGATGTGGGAAATCAACGCAACGATAATGTTGACCGTGTTAGCTATTATAAACAATGAATGATATTGTTTTATTATTTATTCTGCTTCATATATAGGCTTTAGGCGATGACGGATACAAAGATCGAAGATCTACGATTACCCCCAACAATAGTTAGCCGAATAGTCGATCGGGCCATTGGACCAACGGGAACTGTGTCAAAAGAAGCTCGTACTGCCATAGCTCGTGCTGCATCTGTGAGTGCTAGTTTTGTAATCCCCTGATTTTTATGAATTAAGAAGAATTTCGAGGAACTGTGATGTTTCAAAAAGGTACTGTAAAGAGAGAGATAGAGACATCTAAATAATGCAAACTTAAGGTCTTCATTCTCAACGTCACTTCTTATGCAAATGATTATGCCCTTACTAAAAAGAGGAGAACTTTATCGCCGGAGGATATATATCAGGTAGCTGGTTGGCTTAAAGTAACGGCTCTGAATTTACATTTCCAAGTAGTATCTGCTTTTCCTTTTTCGAATCTAATGAATTGCATATGTCCTTTGCAGTTTTTTGGGTACTCTTTTAAACTCTACATTTCGCTGTTTTTAAGGATCATAAGTCATAATAATGCTTGTTTTGATGTTTACAACCGACTTGGGACATCATTTTTTTTCCCGCTCATGGTTGTTGTGTATTTGTGAGGCTTTGAAGCCCGGTTCACTTGTATATGTCTATTTCAGGCTCTTCATGTCATTGAATGCGATCACATCGTTACTCCACTAGTGGAGGAGCTCGAGGCTTGGAAATTGAACAAGGTTATTTCTATATTTTTGATATTGACTTGGTACCTTTTACTCTTTGTTGGAATAGGTCACAGTGATCAAGAAACCCCTGGTGTCGTTACTCTTGAGGGAATGGGATTGACTAGAAGGATCGCTCAGGTTTGAAATAAGGAGTATAATGATGTAAAGCGGGTCAAAGCTCATAGTACCTCACAGGGTTACCCCATAGTACCTTTTTGTTGATGTTGTAGGCCTCCTATTTCTCACTTATGAGTTAGAGATATTGAAGCAGGACTTTTTTCTTCAATTGAAAAGTTGCAGGCTCATCGATCGGAGGAGGCGAGGAAACGAAAAGCGGATAAGAAGGCTGCAGCCAGAACATCAGTCGAAGACGACTCATTCACAATAGCACCATCAGAGGAGATGCGTTTAAAAACTTCTGGAAGTGTAAATGACTGAGTAACTGCCATTATTTATCTGTTTTTATCGGTTTTCGTTCCACGGTTCATGAGGTGCATATAAACGGTGAAGGAAGGGTTCGGTAGTCCAACCTATTTCACTCAAAAGGCATTTCATTGAAAAGGGTTTGAACCATGGGTGAGGGTGAAAGTCGAAGTAGCCGAATCTACCCCAATTCTGTGATTTGCCTTGCATTTGGTTGCTAGGGTCCTGGCTTTATTCCCAGGCTTTATTTCACTGACTTTTTTCCGAACTTGGCTTTATACTTGATACTTAACAAAACGGTATCATTGGCTTTATACTTGATACTTAACAAAACGGTATCATTCTCAGCTTGACCCCTGATAAAGTGGTCAACCGTGAAATCCTCGTGTTGACTGGTGTTGCTCCTTATCCCACGGTTCTTAAATATTCCCATTGACCATCGGGTATAGAAATTTCATATCCTTTCAGCCTGTCCCATTAAATTCATGATTTTTAATGATTCCATAATATGCTTGCTATAGCTCCAGCGTCAAGCGTTAAATCGGATAGGTTGAAGTGTACCTTCCTTACTTCATTGTGAGCTCTTTGTTGAATTCTAAATCTAATTCTAATTGAACGATACATGTGATCGTTGAACCCTCTGTACATTGTTGGCAAGTGATCCGAGTGGCTGTGTTTTTGAAGGTTGGCTGTTGAATGTTGGTTTTACGAAAATACGATCCCCGTTACCGCCTTCAGTTTGATTTCTGCTAAATCTTTATGTTTCTTGCTTATACTACTTTTTATTTCCTACCATTGAGTGAATTGTCTCTCGTTATATAGACTCTATTCACAGTTGCTATATTGCTACACTNTATAGAAATTTCATATCCTTTCAGCCTGTCCCATTAAATTCATGATTTTTAATGATTCCATAATATGCTTGCTATAGCTCCAGCGTCAAGCGTTAAATCGGATAGGTTGAAGTGTACCTTCCTTACTTCATTGTGAGCTCTTTAATGAATTCTAAATCCAATTCTAGTTGAACGATACATGTGATCGTTGAACCCTCTGTACATTGTTGGCAAGTGATCCGAGTGGCTGTGTTTTTGAAGGTTGGCTGTTGAATGTTGGTTTTACGAAAATACGATCCCCGTTACCGCCTTCAGTTTGATTTCTGCTAAATCTTTATGTTTCTGTACATTCGGCATTCAAACGACTTTCTTGTGCTAGGTCTTCAAGTTTTACGACTTTTTACTTTGTCGCATCTGCTTAGATGTTTGTATTGAACAAAATAAATTTTGACCTTTTCTTCTTATGTAAGTAAAAAGTGTCAGGTTTGGATCACTTGGAATATTTTAAGGAACTGCTCTACATCCTTTAGACGACTGAAACCGACTTTGTTTCCAACTGAATTGTCAATCTCTGCAAATCGTCCGTTATTACGAGCCTTATGATGCTCTGTGGACCGTTCATAGTCGGAGAAGCCCGGATTGTGGGCTTCTGAAGTGATGAAATTCATACCTTAGATAAGTTCCGAATAGTTTCAACTTCCACCATTCTCCAGATCGAATTCTTATGGAATGCTTGTGATTTGTGTGGCAGTTTTCTATACCTGTTCATCACCTTGAAACTTTACTCTTCCTTACAATCATTTCTAATTTTTAATGCGCTTGTGTATTTGGCATTGACTTCTTGTATGGGTCCTAACACGATTCCCTTTCTTTCTCCTCTAAATCTTTGTGTAGGCTCTATATTAGGCTGAACTGGAGAAGTTCCTTTGGTTAAATAGAAAACTTTTTTCTTGCCACTGAGAGTTTCTTGGCCCCAGAATGGTTCAGAAACACGTTTTTCACTTTTATTGCCAAGGAGGTGAAGTGCTGTGGGGATTTACGCAGGTCTGGCATACGCCACGTTGTCAGCAGACACTCGATTAAGCCGATTTTCAGCAGGCCCTGTCAAATAAATGGGTGTCGCCATGTCTAGCCTGTCACCGTCTCACGAAAAGGAGCGATATATCACATTACCTTCGACTTTCTATCTTCCCTTTATAGCATGAAATAACCTAGAAATCCCCTTCGAACCCTCTGTTTAATGTTCACAACCTCAAGTGTTTAGCTCGTCAATTTTCGACCACTTCCATTTTAAGCCAGCAGAGCATGTAAGACCTGTAACCCCTGTCGAGGGTCCCTCATTTCGCTTGACCCTGTACGAAAAACGAAATTTTTTTTGCCTGAATCCTCACCGGATAACATTACTAGTCTTAGAGTCAACTTTATACCACGATGGAAATTCAATCGGTGGAAAACTTTAGGATGCTATATAAGCGAATGGTCCCCGCAAATACTTTCTTCGCCTCTGCGTTTGATCGAGCGACAGATTTATTAAAAATAAGGAATTGGTAAGGGATCCGTCTTCTCGTAGGGTGGCGGCACACTGGTTACCAGCTCAGATAGTCAGTGACGACATCGGAGAACGGGTGTGATCAACGGGAACAAGGCGGTTGAAGGTGGTCGTCGGGAACCTGGTTGCGGATGAGCTCTCTTTCTTCGTTTGAGTGTCCTAAAAAGCGTAGTATGAAGAGAAAGATAAGCAGCCATACTAAATAACCTGGTAGGGCAGACCTCGAAGTTCGTGTAGAATACTCACCTTCTTACTCATAGGGAGATGGGGCGTGTACAAGTTCCCTGTTCGGTTTGGCTTCCGGAAGAGCGGGCGCGGGTGATAAGGATGACGTGAAGATTGTTGACCCATTGGAGATATTGGAGATAGATATGCCAATAAGACATGCCAGCAAAACATTTTTCATGACCTAGACGTCTAGATAAGGTCAAGTTAAGGCGAAGGGTATCATTTGGAACTCACCGTGGTATGCATCGAATTTGGTACAGGTAGTGAGAAGGACGACGAAGTCATCATTCCGAATCGAAGAGATCCGAAATGGCGGAAGCAGTAATGATTGCTCCACGGTTTCTGGCCCAGTTAATAATGTCGTTCCAGTAGGACAAGCGAGCCAGGGAATTTGCATGACCCAAGACAAACTGCCCATGTCGGCATCTTGTCAGGGCGACGTTCAGACGGTGAGCGTCATTCAGGAAATCCCCGCGGTCGGCCTTAAATCCTGTCCGAGTTGTGAGAAGAACAACGATATCCTT